AACGAAGAGAGAGAGAGAGAGAGAGAGAGAGGAAGAGCGCGCGTGTTTTTTAAATCGGATAAAACACAACCCTTTTTTATCTTCTTTTACGACTAATTTAAGTTGCGAGAAAAGCGACTATAAAAATTGCAACGCTTCGCGGATAATCGAGTTACGATCGATTTTTCGACGCGGGAAACCGCGAACCAGTGACAGGTGGAGTCATCTTACGACGAGAAGCCGCGATCGATCGTTTCGAGTTGCGAGAACGTAGATCGACCGATGCGAACGGAAAGAAAGAAACGTGAAAGACCACGTGATGAAAATCTTTTGAAAAAAATCGAGAGATAAAATATAATATGATCCTTCTTTCGACCAATTCGAAATTTTTCATTCGATTAAAAACTTTAATTTATTTCGATGAACGATTACAATTGCTTCTACTCTCGCTTCGTCCTATTCCCAGAGATTGACAATGAAGAAAGGAAATAACTGTTGATCGCGATAACGAATTTAAATTGAAATTATCGTTAATTCTCAACCGTTTAAATCAACGCTTGCGATTGCGATTTTCGCGCGTATCTTCGAACAAGGTAGTTCTCGCCGTTACCGACTCGAGATAACCCAAAAACACTCGCAAAGGTAAACTATTATCGCGTCGACATATCGTACAACGTTTAATATCATCTCTTTGCAATTTATTCTCGATCAGCGACTAAAATAGACACGCTTAATGAAAAATTCATCAGGCATAAATTAAATTATATAAACAGGTACGATAGGAAGGAATATGCGAAGAAATACAAGTGAAGGAAATTAGCGTATATTTTCCTCTAATCCATCGTATCTCTATCAGCTCGATAGATAATCGAATCGAGATTTAATTTCACAATTTGACAAAAATCTGTCGAAAGAACGAAAGGAAAAAAATCGTTCAAACACTTGGTCGATCGAGTTCCTGTCGTTGATACAACTTTTCCAAAATCGGTACTGGGATACGTTTCTCGGCCAGGTTTTTCGTTCCAGGAAGTTCGGAAGATAATCGAGAATTTTCAGACAGCGAATCTTGTCCGGTCGGTGGTAAAAGTTGATGCGAAACCAATTTCGACAAAGGTATGGCTTTCTCCTCTAGATTCTCCGTGCCTGGCAACGGCAACGAGATCATTTCCGTCTCTTTCGTTATTATATCTCGACCAGTGAAACCGATTTCGGACGTTCCACCAATCGCTCCAGGAGCCGCTAAAGTTCCAACGACTCCGACAAACAACGTGACGATCTGTAACTGTTCGAAAACACCCTCAATCCCTCGATCATCGGTCGTATCTTTTCGTGGCCAAAACGCGCATCACTGACGGAAATCAACGTTCGCGTATTCGTGTGTTTCGAAAAGCGTCAGAATTTCTTATTCTTTTTTTCTTTTTTCTTTTTTTTTTTCTGCAGCCATCGACTGTGCGAAGACGAAGAGCGAAAAGTTAACAGCGTCTCGCGTTTTGGCCGCGTTTTTTCCCATACTTTCTTACCTCGATCATGTTCGCTCGAATAACCACGCTCGACTGTTCTCCTATCCGCGATCGTACTTTTATACGTATGTAAATATACACATATGTAGATATAGGATATACGTGGCGACACCGGTCCCGCAACGTGTAAAATCCACGTTTTATTTTGACGTAGCCAAACGGCTACGACACTCGCTCGAGGCGATATCCTCGAATCGTCCAATTATTCTCTTTTTACCCGTCCGTACCTGTTTCGATATCCCCCCGGAATTACTTATTCTCTTCCACGTCCCCGCGAGAATTCGATCGCACGAAAATCTGCGCTGTTCGAGAAATTTCTGCGTAGCGGAAAAGTCGAAGAAACGTACGTACGTAACGCGGCACACCGAGAATAAGAATCGAAATTTATACTCGTTTTCCTCGACGAGGAGGAGGTTTTTTGAGGTATCGAAATGAAAATATATAATCGGCACTTATTGAAACAATAAGTGCGAATGCGTAACGCTCGCGGGGATAATTTTCCATATTGTAAATATTATTTCGTCGAGGGGAATAAATGATCGGAGAGGGCGCGTGATCTCGGCGCGTTATTTATCTAGATCGAGAAACTAAATCGAGGAAGCGAGAAGTTGGGGATTCTTCGAAATTCTGAAAAACGAGACGAAAAGCGAGACGAGAAATCTTGATCTTGTTTGCTCGACACCCTTCCTTCTCTCCTTCCTCCTCCTCCTCCTCCTCCTTCTCTTCCTCTTTCTCGTTGCCTCTCTCTTTATCGTTTCAACGCCTACGCGCGAACGAACGTAAGGAATAATCGAATCTACACACGCCTACGCCTTGTTCCGTCCAACCAACCCTCCCTCTTTCCACCTTTTTAGGGTACAACGACATTTCCTCCGCGACGTGACGCTGTGTCTGTATCTTACTTACGGACGCGTGTCTTCATAACGCGGCATAATAGGCGTAGCGTGCGGTCATCGGGAAAAAGTGACGTCATTTTTATCGCCGTTCCAACCAATTAGCTCGCTATTATAGGCGAGGCTTAGGTTGCACGACGACGGAGCCGAGCAAAACTCGGGCAACAACGTGAAGCGGGGAAAAAGTGACGTCACGTATCCATGTCCATGTACCTTGACATTTCTCGCGTCTCCTCCTCCTCCTCCTACTCCTCTTATCTCCGACTTCGCCGCGACTCCTGTTGTTCAACGAGGAGGATCGTTTACATCATCGCGCGCGCACACGGGGAACATAGAGGTGGGGAGGGGACGGCAGGGGGAGAATTCGATCGACGTATTTTCAATGCGATTAAAAATAAACCTCTCCCCCTCGCGCGTGCTTTATCTTCTCTCGCGCTTGGATTGCGACCCGACGCGACACAGCGCACGTTGCTTCACCCGAATGGAAACAAATTACGTATTTTCCGGGAGATTTTCATCGGTCAAAGCGTCCATTGACGGGGGGGAGCGCGTCGCCATCAACACGTGGCAACCTGTTTGCGACCGACAGCTCGATCGATCGTCTCGTTTGGCGACGAGTGGCGACCGTTAACCGTTTCGTAACCGATCGTTCCGTGTCGATCGACGACAAACAAACGAGGACGCGACGTCCTTTAACCCGGCGATCAACCGAAATATACGTTCGGTTCGAATATATAATACGTACGATCAGTGATGATCGAGACGTTGGTTGGTGAAATCGGTGGGATTCGCGTTTTTCTCCAATTTTTCTTAAATTAGTACCCGGTTTGTTGAACGCGTCGCGGTCCCCGTATTTGCACGTTCCGTCTTCTCAAACAGAGAGAGAGAGAGAGAGAGAGAGCGAGAGAGAAAACCGAAAATACACGGTCGCGGGTTTGACGTAGAACGGTTTGCCGTTACGTGTATAAGCAACCGGGTAAAATCGATCCTGTATTTGTTTCTTTTTGTCTCCACACTGTGGGAAACGATAATCGAAACGGGTTGACTTCCTTTTCTCGTCTTTAACAACAGCTTCGAAACAGCTAAAATAATTCCTTAAACTTCAAATTTCCTTTTCCTTCTTTTTTTTTTTTTTTTTGAAAAATGAGTCGGAAAACGGTGGTGGGAAGAGCGTCGCTCTCCTTTCCAACGCCGGACGGTGTACTCGACATGGATCAAATTCTGTCCACGGATCCGTGGAAACAGATCGACAATTTCGTGCAACACAATTTCAGGCAAAACCTGTTGGACGAATTTAACGAACGGTTGAAACTGAATCCGGCGATCGCGCCATCAGGTAAGGCAAATCCCTTTTTCTTTCTTCCACGATCGAATCGAGAATTTTAACACCGGCCGTTAATCGACGAGAGTAGAGAGTAAGAGCCCGGCAAAGAAACGGGGGGGAACCGTGTCGTCGTCGTCGTCGTCGTCGTCGTCGAGGACGCCCCGTAAAAGTGAAACGGCGGCAACCCCGAAAACGAACGGAGGGAGATCGGCGGCGAAAGAGAAGAAGAGCGTTGATCGCTCGAAGCAGCCGAGAGGAAAGGAGACGGCGAGGAAGGAGGAGGACGGGGGAGGGAAAGGAGTTTCGAAGGGGAGGGCGAAGGAAGGTGGGGGCGCCGTTAAGGGGGGAGAGAAGAAAGGGGAGAAGCAGTCGAGGGTGCAGACGAAGGGACGAGCGTCGACCGGTTCGCAAAAATTGGACACCCCGATCACGAGGAGAAATTCGATGGGAGCGGGATCGTCGGCCAGGAAGAAGAAGGAGAACGCGGTGGACGGTAATGAAAAATTATCGATCAAGGGGGAGAAACAGGTGGCGAGGAAGAACGATAAAAAGGAGGAGGAAAATGAGGGGGGGAGGAGGAAGAGCTCGGTGAACAGCTCGGTGGAAAATAAATCGAGGAGCGTGATTTCGATGTCGCAGGTTAAAACGAGCACGCCGAAACGTAACATTCCTAGAATTAGCAGTTCCATTGGCAAGGAAAATGCTGTCGCCAGGTATAACGTTTCAGCGTCGAATCGGGATTATTCCGTGAAGAGCGACGTTTCCATGAAGGGGATACACCGCGCCATTTGCGCGAGCACGGATTTGAACAACAACAACAACAACAGCAAGAAAACAAGATCGAGAAGAAGATGGAGGCTAGTAAAGAAACGAGCGTGGCGAAACTCGAGCATAAAACTATGATTTTGGGAAAGATTGAGGAGGAGACAATGGTCGCGAGCAAGGAAATATCGAGAATATCGATGAATCAGAAAACATTAACGTCGAGTTGCAAAAAGGAGGATAAAAAAGAAGCGTCGACAGGTAAGCAAGGTTTGCATGCATCTCGTATATGTGGATGTAATGGATGATTCTCGCGACAGAGAGGAAGATTGGAAAGCACGAGAAACGTTTGCTGGAACGGCGAGAAAGACGGCGGAAAAGGAACATAAGACGGCACGAAAGGAAAGCGGAGCAAGCTATGGAAGAGTTCAGCCATCACGTTACCCGCATCGTGAAAAAAATGGGTTATTTGTCGGGTACGCGTTTATTTGAAATATCTTTACGAGTAACGATTTCAACGATTATCCACTTGAAATGTTTTCTTGCAGAATTCAGTTCGTGTTCCAGTAGCGATGATGACGTTAGCAGTTATTCCGATTCCTACGATACTTATTCCGAATCCTCGAAAGGATCGTCTTACTCTTCGTCGTATTATTCCTACTCGTCTCGTAGCTCGTGCTGCTCTTGCAGTAGTTTGTCCACCACGTTTTTATAATTACTAATTTAAAACAAATTTTAAATATATATGTATATATACGTGTGTCATTCCCCCGTTTAAATGTCGAATATTATTTAATTTCTTCGTGTTACACTGAATAAAGAATTTACGAAACGAATAATTAATCATAATAAATTCGAACGAAACGTGTTATCCTTTTTTATATTCCTCTCCATCCACGTGAAAATATTTCGAAGATAAAGATGTTGTCGTTACATCTCTAATGAATCGAGACGAAACAAGTTATACATCTTACTGCCTAGATACTTACTTCTATCGTACCGGTTTTCTCTATTTATATCTCTGATATTACCGTCGTTGCACTGGTATGTACGATCCATCCCTATGGACATCGTATACTTGACATACATGTTAAAAATACTTTCTGGTTTAAATTAAATTCCACCTCAAGAGTATGCATATCATTTGGCCATCGATAATACATATATATATATATATATATTATTTGGATATCGGTTATCACGATCTCACGCACGAGCATCGTTTCTCATTAATATATCGCATATATACATATATCGTGGTATCGATGCAACAAAGAACAACGAACTTGAGACCGTTACTTATGCACGTGTTGACAAGAAAGAGCGGGGCCATTCCTATTCGCCTCGCTATAAAAAATCGTAGAAATTTATCTCTAGTTTCCAATATGCTTTCATCATATCAAAGGTAACGCCACCACACGCGTATTCGATAATCGTTGAAAAGAAAAAGAAAAAGAAAAAAAAGAAAAAAACGACAACGTATCAATTCCAACGTTCGATCTTTTCACGATATTTCGCGAATATGCTCGACTTTGGCGACTGATCACTTTTTTTTCTTCGGGGAAACGATTTGAACGAGGAGAAGAGGAAGAAGAAGAAGAAGAAGGAGAGAAAAAGAAAAGGAAGGGAAAAAATGAGGCGAAAAATTGCAAGGATGTTTGATCCTCGCATCGATGTTCCATTACCTTTCCCGATCTACGTCTGCGCGTGTCGGCCGGGTCTATAAAAGCGACGCAGGGCGTCGCGACGGCTCCAGACGCGACATACGCGCATAACTGAAAATGTGACATCGAGGGAGGGACAGAGATTTTATCCGTTACCATCGTTGACAGATTAGATCAGAAAAATTTGTGTGAAAAGTCGAGAAGACGTGGAAGGCCATCGCGGCGACAATTGGCTCGAGACGAGATTCGAATCGATCGTTTCGTTTTTTTTTTTTTTGCATTATTCGTTCGGTCGGATTCGTTTCAGTGACGTACAGTGTGAACATGTAGAACGTGCCGAATACGGAGGAAGAAGAGGAAGAAAACGAGCTCTTTTTTTTTTTGTGTGAAAGTTGAAAACGACGACGTTGAAAACCCGGTGAATTACATTGAAACATTGGAATCTGTGCGTCGATTCGTCATTCCGCCAGACACACCTTTCTCGTTCGTTCGAAGGATTACCGCAATCGTTGTAAGTCGATCATCGATAAGAGCATAAATAATCACACTGTCTAACGTGCCAACAAATTAACACCAACGAACGGTCTATCGAACTAACCAATAAATCGAGTGCTCGTTATTATCGATATTAATGGACAACCGTTGTTGACAAGGATTGTGCGCAATGCAATTAAGAATTTAACGAAGTGAAATACGATGAGATGAAAAAAAAATTAAAGCGAGTAATAAAAAGAGACATGATTCAATCGGTGCGTTTTAGAGAACTTTCTTTTTCTTTTCTTCTTCTTCTTCTTCTTTTTTCCTCCCCCTCCTTTCGTTTATAGAAATTTCGCTCGTGACCGCCCTTTCCCCTCCTTCTCTTCCCCTTCTTCAAAGTGTTGCGTGTAGTAAACGCATAAAGGGAATGGGGTATATAATCGGTTCTCTAAATCCTATCTTGACACGCGTCAAAATATAGTTCCTGGTAAACAGAAATGTTAAATATAGCCGGGGGGAGGGGAGGGGAGGGGGAGGAGGGGGAGGGGGGGAGGACCGAAACTTTTGTGAAGAACCGGACGAGAACCGGCGAACGGAATTAACGGAAAATAATCCACGTTGTAAATTCTACGAATCGAAAAAGCGAGATTTACGTAAAAATAGAAAACGCGTGTGTGCGCGGTGTAAAAGCAAAATTCGTGGATGGAGGAGGAGGAGGGGGGGGAGGAGGCGGAGGGGAGGGGGGAAGGAGAGAATTATTTCGAAGGGGAAAAAAAAAAAAAAAAAAAATGACAGCTACGACCGGCAGTAAAATTCAATTCTCGCGAATCCAAAAATGTTTTAAACGTCGATTGTTTCTCGCGAAGCGAATCGACGTTTTTT